ATGACATCTCTAAGATATCACTCCATGCCCTGGCAGCACTGTTAATGGCATCTTTCAGATTCAATGACTTACACAAACAATGTCGTTCTCTTCTGTCAACAACAATTAGCAATGCTTTTCTGTAGTTCTTTTGGGAAGCCTGAAAAGCAGACAAACAGTAGCTACATAATGGAAGTTGCATTAGGAGGCAAGAATGTGGCAAAAATCTGGTTAACTGTTGTCGGCTGACCCTCTTGTGTGAAGAAGTGTTGTTTGGCAGCAAAATCACCTTTTCTTTCAGTTCTAAAAATGGCCATGAACAGCTGGTATAAACTGTGTGCAGAATGGATTCTGGTGGGCTTAGGGGATTGGTAATGGGATAAGAGACCTTTCACCTTTAGGTCAGTAGTTCAAATTCAGCCCAGGTTAGCAGCAATTGAAAGTCTTTACCATCTGACACTGTTCGTTAGCCTATTTAAAATGACTGAAGGAAAGTGTCACAGTAAAACAAGATTCTAGCATTAAGAAATATGAAGACTCAGCAAACAGCAGAAACAGTCGCTTTAGACTTTGCTTTGAAATTCTGCTGTTCAGACTTTGTAGAAATCTACTCCGCTAACTCCTGACAGCCCCTTTCACTGCTCCCATACTCCTGCCCACCTATCACAATTCATCCTCCAGGCAGCTACACACACCAAGACAACAAAACCACCTCTTGCCATCCTATGGGTCTGCTACGGATACCAGTCACCACCTCTCTGTGGTTTTAGCTGGCAATCCGAATTCAGCTCATCACTTTGCTATTTATATTTTGCTGCCACTGTTTATATAGTGCAGCTGCAAGATTTTCCAGCACTTCTCTCCATCACTGAGCAAACGTGTAGCAGGTGCTGCCTAATGATGTGCAACAGAATACAGGTACCATTAAGAGACTGTTAGAACCAGGAGTTTATAAGCAGCAGTGCTCCAGACAATCACCAACAGGACTTCTACATACTTCCAGACATCCCCAACCGTGTTTTTTATACTTTCATGAGTGGACAAAGAGATGAAAAGGGAGGTAGAAAGAGACATGTTGCATGGAAAACTTCCTCTGCCTTTCACACCACGCATGACCTGTTTTGTACAAATACACAGCTCTGGAATATAACATCCTCCAGAGGTTAGTAAAAATCTGATGAACACACTGAAAGTGATAAACAAAAATCTTAACACTGGATGATGTTTTATGGGTGCATGGAAGTTTATTTACATTCCCCTTATGACTTTGAAACAAGTTATGTTAAAAGAACTTGAAAATATTTACATAAAATACATACTCCCAGTACAATTAACTGTAAAATAAAAACAGATATGCCATTTGCTTTCAATAGAACTCTTACAAACACATCAACAGAGTATCCTACAAAATTATATTTTATTCTCTAAAAAGTTATGACAAAAATATTCAAACTGTCACAAGGAGAAAATACACTGCTACTCAAACTACCATATTTCTCAATGCCACCATGATGAATAGACTCCATATAAATGATCTTTTCAATCAAATTACTCTAAGCCGATTTGGTGATGTTTTGAGGAGAAAAGGAGTGCTCACTTGTTACTTAAACTGTACAGTGCATGAGGGAGGCAGGAGGTCAGAAGCAGACCTGAGACACAGACACACAAACTGTATCCAGGGTAAGTACTCTCCTCACCTTGCTCATTGTACTTTTCTCAGTTCTCAAGCCAAGGAGAGATGCTTCTCGTTTCGAGGTACTACAAACTTCTAGAATATGTGACATTTTCCCTTTGCTGTCACCAGTTGATTCACATGTAAGAAGCTTAGCCACACTGCACACCCATATGTTAACAGATACTCTTTATTTACAGACCGTAGACTCTATTCATGTAGTCAAAAAAGACCATTTCCAGTCTTTCAGTAAAAAGTAGAAGAAACTTTCCTGGTGAGAGCCAGCATTTCTGGTGGTAGTGTGATAAGAAGATTTTGACAGAATTTAGAAGTTAAAAAGGCTAAAGGGTCGGAAATTTCTTATTTATTTCAAAGCTCTTGTTTGGCTATTTTAGATTATGACTGCCTTTGATTAGGCTGATGACAAGTAGGTAACATAAAGCACAACGCAGGGTGAGCAGCTATAATCGGATATTCAACATCTGCTCTGTCTCAACAATCGTAACAGTGGTAGCTGCCTGAAAACCACTCCAGAAGTGCCCTAAATGACAATGTACTGAAGTTCTCTTGCAGCTGCTAGAGCAAATGTTTCTATGATTTCTTGTGAAAAGCAAGAATAACAAGTTTTTCTATGCAGTTATCCAGTCTCCTGTCTCATACATACCGGCTAGCTTCTGAAAGATGGCAGAGCAGCAGATACTACAAAAAGTACCTTGCCAACAGCAAAGAATAAATCATTCTAGCTGAATCACTTGGAGGGAGTGAAACATCTGTAACAGATTTGTGTAGCATACAAGAGACACAATGGAGCTGATTCACCAACTTTTTTCACTTTCCAACCTCATATTGTATTGCAGCAACACTTAACACAAAAATTAAATAAAATATAAACTTCCTGTAAGGTGCTACTTACACTTTTTTGCAGAACTATATAGCAGAAAAGGTATATTCCCAAAGAGTTCCCCAAAAAGACAGCCAAATAATAATACAACTGTCAGTTACTGCAAAATAATTTACAAAAAGTACTGGAATATATTGGACACATACACCAAAGGAAGGAAAGGGAGAAATCAGCAGGCAGTGCAAAGTACTGGACACAGTTTAGTTAGCTTTATGCAAGTATATTCTGAAGTCTGTATCTAAAGTAAAAAGGCTACAGTGATCTGATTAGAGATTGCTGAAATGTTAAAACAGAGACAGAAAATTGCATAATTTAGTAGACACGCTCTGATGATGCTGACAGGTAGCTGTGTCTGTAACACACATTGACAAAAACCTTCAGAGAATCATGCATGGATCAGATGTCCATCACTTAGGAAAGTTCTTCCAACTGAGGAGTGTTCAGCAAAAACAAAGCAAGTGAGCCTGTTAGCCACTGTTGACTGCTGGGAAATGCAAAAGGAGAATGTTGAAGTAATACAGGGAAATCTGGAGACTCTCCTGGTTCTGAAGTTAAATCTGGAGAAGCTTCATTACAGTTTCTATGTTTGGCTCTTAATAGAAGGCAGCAAGAACGAGATGTTAGTTGCATAACCGCTAGCTGAACAGAAAGTAAAGCTTGAGACATGGGAGAAGTGACAGATCAATTTGGTAAGCCTAGGGAAGAATCACAGAAAATTACTACTCTCCAGCCTCAAGCTGAAATCCTAATTAGAGACAATACACTGTCAGGACAGAGGAATTAGAGAAATATCTACACAAGTACTGTAATTTAAGATTAGTAAACTTCTCTAAGTGTTAGAAAGAGTGAGTCTGCTATTACAGGGGATTGTCAAACTGCTTAGGCTGTATTTGAGAAGGAGTCTTTAAAGTCCTTAAAGATGGAACTGTGAAAGCTTTCTTACTGCATATGTGGAGACCCCTATAATTAAGCAAGTTTGAGGTTTGGGACTTTGAACATTTACTGCTACGCACCGCAAGGGGAAGACACCACAGCACAGCAAAGATAACATCTTAAAAACAAATTGCAAAAAGAATCCATTCCAACGATACTCCATCACTAATTCCATTTAGGAATTGATGGAAAATAATATACTACAGCAATGAAATGGTTCTAAACTTCTGGTGAGTTATGCAGAAAAATACAAATTATTTTTCTTCTATGTAAACAAGAACATGGAAAGTCACTAAAAACTGTTATCTCAAAAACTGCAAGATTGGGAAAAGTTTAAAGAATATGACCAAAAGGCCAGAAAAGCTTCATAATACTTTAATGACCTATACATTGCCATTAACCACCACCCTTTCTAACTGAATCTAAGGTAGACCAGATTGTGCCTAGCAAACTTGTAGCAAGAGCATGTGAAGTGTAACTGTCGTGACTTAATTCCAAAAACACTGCTGCCCGGCAAGGCAAGGCAAGGCAAATACCCCTTTATATCCCAAATCCTCTCTCTCTTCTTTACCCAAAACATAAATTTACCCAGCTGTTATACAAAGTCATGCAAAGATGATGGAATTAGGAGGATCTATCTATGTTCTATCACTGCCCACACATACAAGCAGGAGGCAGGACACAGCCCTAATGAAACGTAGCTAAAGCAGAGTAAGAAACTAATCACTCTTGCTTGATTCCACATTCCAGTTCTTCTGGCATTATTTAACAAAGTGAGAAAAGGAGGACAATGGAATTTACTTTCTTACAAGTTGAACTTTCTTCCTGTCTTTGAGAATGATATACAGACTTCAAGTTACATGCCTGTTTTCTTAGATTATGACCAGAAATGCGTTATAACAGTCAAAGAGGCAGAGGGGGTTCTCCATAAAACAGTTCGTCCATTCATTTGCAGCGTATATTATAACACCTACTACTGACCACATGAGATGTTACAAAAATCCTACACTGTATCAGCATGCTTTTTACACAGTTGCGTTCCAGTCACAAGTTCAATCATATGCAGATTGCTGGTGTTTTTATTGCTGATATACACATATAGTTTTAATCACCCTCCTAGAGAAACTCAGCAAGTGATCATCAAAGTATAAAAAATAAAGAAGAAACTTCAGGGACCAGTGGGGAAAAGCATCAGAGCACAGTGGCTAGACACTTACTGCGAACCCACAGTGGCACTTAATAGTGACCTCTTGCAAGGTCTTTAGGTCAAGTGTAACAAAGAGCGAAAGCTCTGAGCGCTTACTTGAGTGCTGTGCAAGGACTCACTGCTGCAAAGTCTTGTATACGCAGGCTTGTTTAAGTGAGTAGATCTTTTAAGTTCAGTGGGAAGTGCTCATATGTGTCAAGTTATTTATGTGTAAGCCTTTGCAGGAGCAGACCCCTAAGTAGGGAAGGAGGTTATGTTTTGTTTTTTTAAATAACACTTCTCTGAATCTGTAGAGCTGTTTTTCTTACCTGAAGTCTAGTATTCATTTCCAAGAAGTAGAAATTCTTACTGGAGTCCACAAGGAATTCTACTGTTCCAGCAGAGGAATATTTTACTGCTTTGGCAAGAGCTACTGCTTGTTCTCCCATTGCTTTTCGAGTTTCAGGGTCTAGGAAAGTGCTACAATACAGAAACAATGCCTTTCTTTAGTTAAAAAAAATAATAATAATTAAATCATTTCATCTGCTGCTTAAACTACCACTAAAAGAGGACAGCATCATTATTTAAGTTATGAAAACACATCAAGACTGTCAAATGTATGCCTTTACTTTTATATTGCTCCTAAATAGATATATTGCATGCTTTGCAATTACTGCTAATGTATGGGAAATTCAGGATAAATAACTGCATTCTCTAAAATATAAAACAACAGAACACAACTTTTTTAGAACACTGAGATCTATAATAATGCAAGTTAAAAATAAATATATACAAATCCATGATATTTTAGAAGGCATATCTATTTGCAAAAAAACTGTAACTAAAAAGTCCATCCAGTGGAAATATGAATGACAAAATAAAAGTCAAGAGGTCTAAGGGGAATTTGCTTTCTGACTCTGAATTCAAACAGCATGGCCATTTCATTAATATCCTATGCAATAAAGAAGTTTTATAAATTAATGAAACATTTACCCAGGCTTCTTACGTGAGTAAGATTGCAGTGAAGAAAATATGGGCATTCATAATATTTAACTAAAGCACTGTCAACAATATCATGACTTAAACCTTCATATTCTCTATTTCCTCTCTCAGCTTTACTTGTAAACTGAAGACTAGTTATCTGTGTTTGTTAATTGCAATTCATTCCTTTCCACAAATCCTCGACACACTTGAGGGCACCAAAAGAGCAGCTCAGCTACCACCTTGGGAGCTACTGTGCCTTCTCATTCTAGGAGAGCAACATGCCACTTCCACTGGTCCAGTAAATCAGGAAGGTACATATTCTGCTTGTTATTCTCTGTACTGCAAATTCAGATTTAAATTAACCTATGCAGTTCGTTAACTTAGAGCTAGAGAAATTTCTGTGGCTCTCCATCAAAGCTGTGAAACTGGTTGCATCTCACCCCAATACAGTGACCTTCAATGAAAGACAATAAGTAGTTGTTTCGTCTTATATGAGATTATAAAGATGCTTATTATATTTCTGCAGTGACTTACATTAGGCACATAATTCAGCTATCATTTTAGAAGTACTCTTTCAAGGGAAGAGGAAGTAACTTCTACCTTACCTCTAAGCTACTGTTTAAAACAAAAATACCAAGTGTTACATATTTTTTGAGGTATCCTCAAAAGCGAGTCAGAATTCTGTAAAGGAGCAATAGGGAGCCTCCACGTATTTGAAGTGCCCCATCAAAGTCAGTGATGCTCCATCTGGGGCCCAGGGCTACACTCAGACAGAAGCCAGTGCTGGGTCAGGACTTACCTTTCAGGAATTACTATGGGGTTTTTCACTGAGACCTGAACTCACAGAAGAGCTACAGACTTTCATAGAAGAGCTAGAGGCCTGCCACAACAAACCTATATTTAACACGACACAAAAAGTGAGGAAATATCTAGGCAAACCAGGAGACAATGGAATCAGTTTATGGGAAAAGTGCTACTTAGTACCTCCATCCTTTCAGTGCCCACATGGGCAGATTCTGATGGATGGTAAGGCAGGCATTTGCAGAACTTAGGAAAAAATTTCTTTCTTGGCAAACAATAGGATCAACAGGAAAAGGAAGTCAAGTCTGATCCCAAGAAAACTATCAGATCCTATATCAGATCAAAGGAAAAAACAAAAGACGTGCAAAACTGTCATACTTACCAAAATAGTCACTGGTAATGTAACAGTTTCATAATGTTTCTTATTTTGACTCAATAAGAGGATAATGCATTCCACAAAATCAACAACCTATAATTCAGTTTGGGGTTTTTGCACAGCTTTGATCATGAAAGGTCAACGAATGGCTTATGAAGAACAGAACCTTTTCAGTATCAGCTTCATACTCTATTTCTAGAATAACCATTATTACTTCTCATATGGATGAAAGACAGCTACTCCCCTTTATTACAGTGATGTCTTCCCTATGTTTGTTAAATGTAGGTCTGAGATCTCTCTGTTCACCTCCTGCTGTAGCCAAAGAATGGAACAGAGGTGTCACACTGCTCAACTTGATCTCTGCCGCGTGGTTAAGCTTTATGCTTTAAAATGACTGGATCATCCCTGCAATCAGCTAGGTTAATTAATCAAAGTTTTCTTATTCCTCTCTGTCGCTTTACCTTTCATATACATTGTTTCTCCCTTCTTTAACAATGCCTCTTTTACAACTGAAATAACTCTTCTCCAATCTAATTAGGCATCACTTGAAAATACAGCATTTTAAACCTGACTTCAAATCTTTTGCTCACACATATACCTGTTATTCTTCCAACCAAATAGCTCCTATGGCAGCATGAAGGCTGCAAAATAAAAAGGATTCACAGAATAAAAGCATCTAAAAGAAAAATAAGATCAGACCTGACACATTTCTCTCATAAGACCTTCTTCAAGCTGTTGTAAAGTTGATCAAAGACAATACAGTTGGTTTGTGTCATTGTTTCTGTAGCCAGAGAGATGAACCACATGGTCAAGATGTTACCTCTCAACTTCTAGTTCATCCAGTGTTTCCCAAAATACCCCCATCACCTTCCACTCATAGATAAGGTTGAGATTTTGAAAAGTACACAGTTACATCGTCAGTGGAAATTTACTGCTCAGCTTAGGTCACACAAAAAAAAAAAAAAAAATCTTTAATAACATTTACCCTTCCTCTGAAAACACCACTACACTGGCAGGGTCAGCTTTCCTGCTCTTAGGAAATAGTTAGGCATACTGTTAGTTTAAAAAAAACTTACCTTCAAAACCCACTCTTCTCTGAGATATCCATTATGTACTACCACACTGCAGACATAAATACGTTAAAGTATTTGAGAACAGTTCTGCCCCCACATTTAAACTGTGCCCACCTATGAATCGTGTACACAGTCACAAGAACAGTCTTGCTGTTTCTCTCAACCCCCAATCCTTCAAGGATTTCGAGACAGAGTGATAGGAAATGTACAGTCTGATATACATACATGCAGCACAACTCTAAAAACTTGTACATAGAGTCTAGTTCAATAAAATACCTTTCTGCTAAGTTCTTGCCTATATACATTTATTCAAATTGTCGGTGGCTTCAAGTAGCACCTTGGCAGTTAACCTGGAATATGATCCTGAATTACTTGGCATCATACTGAGATCTTTCAGAAAGAGCTTAGTGCTTGTAGAAAGTGAAAGAAGTCACTGTCTGTGCACCTTCCAAGGACAGAAACATTCCTGAGAGAAACTAACAATGAAGAATGCAAAAAAGGTCACAAAAATGATATAACTGTTTCACTTTCATTCTAATGCAGTTACTTACCGGTAAACTAGCCTCCCTCTTAAGCCTCCTGACTCTTAGATCTTTCTGTCACAGGCAGAAATAAAGAAATATTTTTGTCCTTTGAACTGAAACTGAAAGAACATCTTTCAATTTAAAAAGACACAGAAAAACTAACATCTCGGATAGATAAGGCAATCTCAACTCTGAATGTGTGCAACTAGGAAGAAAAAGAAAAACATAATAAATTATTTCCAGCCTGAGATGAAACTCAGGGAAACTTTAGGAAATTGTTGAGAGACTGTCCTAAGATTCATCTTATTCTGAAAGTCTTAGATCTTAAGTTTTAACCCAAAATACATGTAATCACTGGAGAGAAGTAGAAACAACAAGGGAGAATAAGCAGGCAGCTAGCAAGTTCTAAGGGCTTGCTCACTGTCGATGCTAATACAGATCTTACATGCATGTACAGAATACAATAGCAGGGTGCTGTTCCATCATAACTTGTCCAGAAAAGGCCTGAAAATGTAGAGAGAAGATTTAACAGCCAGTGTCCTGAGCATTTTGAGATATGATAGTTAGAGACTGCACCTCGAATACCATACCCAGTTTTAGACCCCTCACTACAAGAAAGACATTGGGGTGCTGGAACGCATCCAAGAAAGAGCAATGAAGCTGGTGAAGGGTCTAGAGCACAATCCCTGCGAGGAGCAGCTGAGGGAACTGGGGTTGTTCAGCCTGGAGAAAAGGAGGCTGAGAGGAGACCTTCTCGTTCTCTACAACTGCCTGAAAGGAGGTTGTAGCGAGGTGGGTGTCGGTCTCCTCTCCCAAGTAACAAGCAATAGGACAAGAGGAAATGGCCTCAAGTCGCACCAGGGGAGGTTTAGATTGGGTATTAGGAAAAATTTCTTCACTGAAAAAGCTGTCAAGCACTGGAACAGACTGTGCAGGGAAGTGGTTGAGTCACCATCTCTGGAGGGATTTAAAAGACATGTAGATGTGGCACTTAGGGATGTGGTTTACTGACAGGCTTGGCAGTGTTAGGTATGGTTGGTCTCAATGACCTTAAAGGTCTTTTCCAACCTAAATGATCCTATGATTCTAAATGGTATTCCATGGATGATCAAATATTTAATCTCTTTGACTGCTACAGCCAAGGATGATCATGGTGAGTGGAAGGGCCTTTGCATGGCGCTTCTCCATAACATTCTAAAATCTTAACTTTGGGCATCAAATAATATGGATAGCCAAGTGCCTCTGAACAGCTGGACATTCCTTCACACAAGCGGTGAGGCGAAAGTTAAAGTGCTTTAAAAAGCTTCTAACAGGTTCTGAAATGGTTAGATAGGACATTTGCACTCAAAGTGAAGTTTAAGAGTAGTCCTTTGAGCTCCAGTTAATGACTAGGAAGTCACCTAAGACACTTGTATATTTACTTTGCATTGATCCATTTGCTTTGGATTGATCCTGAAGGATCAACGGATTTTCCAATAAGCTTATGGTCCTTGTTTCTCTACATGGGGAAGAACCCCTTATTAATCGCTCTAGCAGACAGGAAAATACAACCGCGCCCTCACATTTTTTTCTTGCCAAAATACACTGTCTCACAGCAACTGTCTCTGAAAATGACTAGAGAAGGGTTTAGGCAGAGGAGGAACAAAAGCTAAACTAAAGAACAACAACAGACTATTAAATGTTACTCATCTGTTTAAATTTCAGCCTCTGTGGTGAAATGAGAAGCCAACAGCATCCTCCAAAAAGGTGTGAAGCTAGAAGCAAAAAAAATTACTGCAAACCACTAGGAGTTTTGTGTAGCACTAATTTTGTCCAGCACTAACTAAAAAACTGGTGATGATTAGACGTGTCTTACTGTCTATGCTTCCCAGAACAGAGTAGCACAACTGTTAAAAGGGTATAAGCAAAGTTTGTTGGTCTTCTATTTGAAAGTGGGGGATTGACCACCATGAATACCAGGGCTCACCTGAACACTGTAACCTCATCAGGGTGTGAAGTAAAGAGCTTTCTCTTCTCAAAGGAGAGGGTTGGTTTTTCTTTGGAAGAGACTGAACTACCCTAAGATAATTTTCCCTCAGAAAATGATCCCATAAGGATAAGTTCAACAGCTGCAGACTTAACTTTAAGAAAATCATAGTGATTATTCTCAAAGCCAAAAGCCTCAACGATCAGTCTCTTAAACTACATACTTAGGAAAACATCATCATAGAAAAAAGTAAATCAAGAGAGGCTTGAGAAGAGGCCAGAGTCAAAAGCCCTAAATTCTACAAAAGACAAATAAACATTTTAGCCCACAGCATCCCTATCTCCTGGGCTTCATGGGGAGAAAAAAAAAAAAAAAAAATCAACTTATCTCAGAGCTCTTAATGGTAAGCACTATTTAAAATAGGAGAAAAAAAGGACTACTGGGGACTTCATACTTCCTCCATCCAGTTGTACAAGAAAAGGTGTTTCCAGGAATCATTAGTCAATGAGACTAACTGAAACAGCATTCACAGGAAGGGCTAACTTCAGGCTTTAGGGTCTCTACAGTGACTCACAGAAGTTAGGGCCCTGCTTATCTGCAACTGTCTTGTAACTCTTTGTGTATAAACAGATTCTGCATCGAACTGAAAGTAGCTGTAAGGCAGATAAGGCTTTCAAAGCTGTCAGTAAAAGTCTGGAGAGTCTAAAAACATTCAACAACAAGAAGGAAGAAGAGTTTTCATGCCAAATTTTGGAAGCTATTGGCTTGTCCCCACTCTTTTATAGCGTTACAGGAAGAGATAAGAGAAATTACTGGCAACTCCAGAGAAGCCCAAGAAAGTTAAAAGACTGATATTTCTGATGAAAGGAAACACTCTGATCACAGTCAGCTGGTGAGAGAAAGACATATCACTCCCTTTAATTGACCACAGGCATGAAGAAGCAGGCAGTAGTGGCAGGCAGCACCTTACACGTACTCCCGAGGCAAAAGACTCTCCCATAAGTGCTTAGGTATACATCTATACACACTCACATTATATCAGGACCTTCATATTTCACAAACAAAAACATTGTAAGATCTTTAAGCATAAGTCTTCCAAGAAATCCACAAGCGCTACAGGAAGTAATGACATATAATCAAGCATTTATTAGTGGGTTTGTATCCTCAGATTTAAGCTTTGGTTTTTAATTTAAAATCTAGGTCATAAACAGTGCCAGTCTCACAATTATGATCCAACAGTAACTTATATGCTGCTTATAAATAAACATAATTTGAATTATGTGCTTTTCCTTACATCCTAAATTGTTGCATCACATAGGTCTGTGCTATAAAATAATGGCAAACACATCCCAGCTGGTGAACACATTACACTGGGAATTCCCACGGGTAGTGATATACCTATATCTGGTTTTCTGAAATCAGAACTTCTTTCTGCCCTTTTTTCTACACATTTTCTCTGATGAATGCAGTGCCACAGAAAACACAGCAAGACCGTACCTTGCACAGCAGCAATGTATTTCAGCTCCATTTGAAACCAGTGGGATTAAGATCATTTAGTATGTTTGAGTTACTGGACACCTACATCTATAGTTCGCAACCATGAATGGTACTAAAAGTGGCACAGAGTATTTAGCACTTCATGTTCTATTTCAGATAGAAATAAACAGTATTCCCTGGCCTGCTCACAATTACTATAACATAGTCAAATATCTGTATCTGTGATAAAAGAAATACTTATTCAGTATTTTATTTTACTCTTAAATCCAAAAGTTGAAAGGCAAAGAAAAGGAAAAATAACTTCAGATACATTAAGAGAGCTGTATCATATACCACATGTATTTGATTGGTAAGATCCATATCCATTTTATACAAGATCATTAAAAAAAAAAAAAAACAAAAAAACAAAACGACACAGCACCTCTTTTCTTCTTGCAGAAAGACACCATGAAGCAAGATCAAAACATCCTCAAGTACAACATCAAAAATGGCATTACAATTAAATGACACCAACTTAAACATTTATTTATTTTCTTTGTGGTTTTTAATAGAACAAAATTCGCATGCATTTGTACAATAAATAAAATCGTCAGCTTTCTAGAAGCACTTTCAGTAACTATGAAACTGCATCAGGAGTCTACTATACATACCTCGGTGCTTCCTCCACAACTTTTTGGTTTCTCCTTTGGATGGAGCACTCTCTCTCATTCAACCACAAGGCATTACCGTGTTTATCTGCCAAAACCTGAAACAGTAACACACTGCTATTAACAAAGAGATGTATGTATATGGCCTTTTGACATTATACTAGTATGTAGCACTGAGTGAATTTAATTTAAAAATATTTTTTTTCCAATCTAGAAATAAAGGTTGGGAAAAAATGCTAGCTTAGAAAATTAATTGTATATGAAATACTCATTGAATGCTCCTTCAAATTCTGAACAGGATTGTTTTAAAGCCTCTATATAGTCTATATATGGCAGAAAAAAAAAAAAACACTCACTCCAAAATTTGTGAGAAGCTCCCAAAAGTTCAGAAATCAAAAATCAAAAGACTGAAATAAGATTAAATCAATTTACTCAGAAGCATATTGTTAAGCAATATCTTGTGACAACAAAGGAGAGAAAAATCTGAAAGGATGCCAAATTTTGCTCCTGAATTACATACAAAATTTTTCAGAAACAATGGCTAACGGAGCTCTCTCAGTAGGCAAATCACAACATCCTCTCTTTAATGAAGAAGGAAAAGTCTTGAGAAACTTTGCAATCTTTTATTAAGAACAAAATTTCTTACTTGCTCAATATTTTCAGTGGAAATTAAAGCAGTAGTTTCAAGGAGTTTATCAAAATTCAGGTGTTGACTACAGTTCTTGGCTGCAGCTTCAGTTCATGGAAGAGTTAAACATACAGTCAAGCACCTAGACTCAACTATCTAAATTACATGTTAGAAGAAACAGAAGTCCAGCATAACAGAATTTTCAACTGATTCTGCAACTTCAAACTGGAAGTAAGACAAGGAAATCTATCCCTTTATGAAATCAAATGTACAATGCAGCCACTTCCAATAGCAGGATACTGGATTTGAAGATTCAAGTAGACTTCTTCCAATCTTATGATATTATATTCTACACTTATTCTTGGAACAATTTCTTTCATTGCAGACCACACCTGCTCCCTTTCTTCCTTATAAAATTTTCCCTCTAATTCATTTTTTTCCATCTTCCTGCTCTGATCTGCAGGAACCTGCAGCAATATTCATGCTTCATTCTTTAACAGTGCAGTTCTACACTGAAAACAGACAAGATAAAAAAAGGAGACAATCTTCCTCAAACTGCGTGAACTCAACCATATCTACTCACATTTGTGACAACGAATCTGTATTATTTATTATTCCTTTTAGCACTACAGAGCTAGTATGGCACTAAGCAAGATGAATTCCTGCGTCTATGACACCAATGTTTGCTGATGCGTGAATAATCTGGGTAGATGTGACTGAAAACGAGGCACTGATCTCATGAAGACAAGTCACGTGCACTGTGCAGCACGACACTGAGTGCTCTGTACCCTGTATGATCAGACTTATCTTTTCCGCAGAAATTCTGCTGCACTCCCATAAATTTATGAAGCTTTCTAGGGGAAAAATCCCCTCTGAAGAGTTCTACAAGGCTGATGCCTTTGGGAGTTCCTAAACTACAGCTTGTCCCAGAACCTTCCTCCCTGCCCAGGGGGACATTTAGCAGCAGCAACATAAGGGTACTCCAGCCAACTGCTAGATTCTGTAATAGGCAACTCAGTACAAAGCAAAAAAAAAAAAAAAAAAAAAAAAAACAAAAACAAAAAAAAAAAAAAAAAAACACCAGAAGCATCTAAAGCAACGTCCTACCCAAGTTCTAACTCATCCAATCCAGGATTAAACATCACGAAGCTCTACAGAAACTCATTTGGGAGGACAATAGATTTTTCTTAATATTAAAACAGTACCTCTAGGGCATAGCACAGTACTCGATGGAAAAAAAACGCTGTCTCGTAAGTAGAATGATTCCGTGTGAGCACTTTTGTTTCATTGTTAGAAAGCCTACAACTACTGTCCACAGAATTCAGCCTGACCAAAACAAACAAACCAAAAAGTCCTGGGCTATTTCAATAAAAATGAGTTCCTGTGCTTCTCTCTTCTCTCTCTCTCTCTCTGTATTCTCCTGAAGGGGATAATAAAGTATTTTTCAAGCCAACTAGCAAATATTTTCTTTCACTTCAGGACATTTCGTGTATCCTACTTAATTTCTGCAACCTGGATCTTAAAATAAACGTTTTTCCACTATCAGCTAATACGGCTCAGAGACATGCATGAACATTTACTATGAAAACGTAATTATAAACAGAATAAGCCAAACAACATCTAGTGTTAGGCTTTTACTTTCATTTTGTGTCCCAAGTCTTCATTATCAGAAACTAAGATACTTACTTCATAAAACAATTACATTTCAGAAGACATTTACAGAATGTTGAAAACAATCTCTGAAATGACATGAGAGTCCAATACATCATCTCACTAAAAACACATCACAGCTACATCTTCTTCTCTGAATATCTAAATGTTCCTAAAAGAAAGTGTCCTGTTTTGTGGTATTAGAGGATTGTGACATTAGTATATGCTATGTACATCTATACGCCAAAATATAATGTATCGCAACCTCTCCCACGATTCAGCTATATTCTATTTTCAGCTGTAAAACTGCTATTTAGTGAAGTAATAGTTATACATTCCATGTACTCTTACTTTAAACTCAGGCCCTTTATATAAGATATTTCAGGAGAACAAGACTTCAAATCAGTTCAAGCATAAAGTCTATTTGGACTCTATTTTCCTGTTAATTGTTTTAGTCTTTTCTCATGTTTTACGAAGTGATTGTTTTATAGCTAGACACAGGAAACCCCTTATTTAACAATTTTAAGTACCAATGCTTTGGAGCTATATGAGAATGTTAAAAAAAAGTTCTATTTAAAAGTTACTGCTAAATTAATAAATATCTGGCATCTGGTCTCAAATTGTTTGTATATTTAGCAGTTTGAAAATGAACCAAGGTCAATGTCTTAAAGCTGAGTAGAACATGAAGTTAAAATTATATGCTATGATATTGTTAAAAGGTACCATCAAAGTGTTTGTGTAAGGAAAACAACATTCATTGTACACTTGCTAGAAATAAAACTGTAAATTATTAACGGCAAAACCATTTTGTTTAATCTAGGTGAAATTATGTGACTGTTCTTAAATACAGTACTGCCTAATTTTTTCTTCAGGTAACCTTTTTTAAACCTAAAGTAATCAAGACAGTGTAAAATCTGTGCCCAATTCGTGAAAGTGTGGAGGAATCAAGCTCATCTAACTTCAGTCATCAGAGTCAGTAGGAAGCCACCGAAGCTCCCAAATCTGCAAGCACTGAAAGGAGTAGATCTTTAAGGTGTACTGACTTACATATAGAAAAGAGAAAAACAAAGACATAGGTAGTCAAAAATTATTAGCCATGGCAAGAGAATATAGGAAGATGTTCTAGCAATCTGACCTCATTTGTAACCCAAGATCAATGCTGAAACAAAACGTTCACTATATACCTTTCCATGACCCTTCAAAAGAGAATAGGTTGGGGTTTAAATTTCATTTTTACAGACTGTTTCTTCATTTCACATATGCAATATGTTAGCCTCTGCACATAAAATAAATAAAAACATAAGAAGTATCAGGTTGTGGGCACATATCCGGTAGAGTGAAAAATGTTAAGTATTTCTCTCTTACAAATCATTCCACACTATCAAATTTATTGTCATTGTTGTTTCATCCAATTATTGAGCTACTGTCAAAATACTTCAGGCTCTCACTGTAAAGGAAAACATGCCACAACTTAGAAAGAGCTTATATTTTGGACAAAAATAAATGAAATTTCTGTTGGGGAAATGGACATACTCCATATAGATTCCTTGTCATGAAAGATTATTTCAAGGCTACTGATGAACCCAGTTTAGTTGTCTACATAAGATTAAACACTTCACAAATTTTAAAATCATAATTTTGTTTAAGTCTGTCTGAAACAAACAAGTCTTGGTTTGCATTAGCACATCTGGCTTAACACTAGATCCAATAAAAGATATAAATGGTCACAATCCAGAAGTTAAGGAGAATACACCTGATTTTGAATCACAAACTGCCCAAAATGGGACACAAATCCTCCTGAGTTTCCAGGGAGCATTAGATACTTCAGAATAGAATCCAAAACACTGACAAAACCACCTAGAGCTTGCAAGAAAAGTGTTAAGCACAGCAGCGCTTGAACTCCTACATCCTCTGCTGCACTCCAGCACTGCAATCAGGATCCAGAGTTCAAGCTCCAGCCCTCAGGACAGAAGCCTATAACCTTTTTTCACCCTCCTCCCAAAGAATTGGGCATGGTTCATTGTCTTCCTGCTAAAGAAAGGCTAGAGAATAAAAACAGGAAGGCTGTATTGTGGATGATAGCCATGTAGTTTGAGCAATGGCCCAAGCCACAGGAAAGCACAAGACTCTAGGTCTTTTTCAGGGGAGTGTTCGAAACGTTTTGAACTTTAATTTATTAGTCCGAACTTTATGAAATAAATAAACAATAATTAATAGTAGTAGTAATAGTAATACCACCAACCTGGATTTCTATGTGACGAGGGTTATCAATGAACTTTTCTATCAGTAAGCGATCATCACCAAAACTTGAAGCAGCTTCTTGAGACGAAAATCTAAAACCTTCCCTTAAATAATGAAAACAAAAAGAATAATTTGTATTTTAAAAGTTAAGTCAAGTTCTGAGGTACACATGGAGAAGGAACACTTGCTCGTTCCAGTTATATGGCAACACAAACATGTAAAACTCAAGTTTTACCATTTGTATTCAATTCCTTAATGCATATCTCTTTTTTATTTCTTTTCTTACAAAGATGAAAAAATTACATTCTCAAAGCACAGCAAATTTCACTGTGTTTAAAAAGTCTGAGCATTTACAATTATTTGTATGAGTTTTCTTTGCTGGCATTTTCTTCTGCAAAAGTAATAAAGTAATCAAATTTTAAAAACCGTTAATTAACAAGCACTTGTTATACAGAAGTAAAGATGAAGCTTACCACTATCTAAGGTGTGCAACCCTCTTACTACTCAAGAATAGTAGAAGATAGTTGCGCATTAAATAGATGAAAGAACTGCAGATATAATATTGCAGACCTTGTAAATTCAATCACTGAACACAACCTGGAGATGCAATACTTCACTTCATAGAGCATACCAGCTGCACTACTAGTTTTTCCCTGCATTAAAGTATAGCTGAACGTTACACTGCATGTACTATATACTTGCCTCTGTTTTCTCTTTACATTTGTAATTACTCAAACAAATAAAGGTTGTAAGATACTATACTAACTTTATTTTTCATGGCAGAAAGATTACTTCTGTGGGGTATAACTGCTGACAAACTTCACGTACAGCTTTCTCAGGGTGAAATGCACCATAATGCAGGGATGGATCCAAAGGCTCCACAGAAGTTTTCTACAGGCTCTTTAACTGGCGTATTAGTCCCACTTACATTGATACATATGGAAAGTTTGGGGTAAACTTCTGTAGGATTGACTACTGAAGTGCAGCAGCCTTGATATTTTTGCCCAGAGTAAGAACTACAGCACAAATGAGTTGAAGTTTTTGCACTCTCCAACTCTTAAATTTAGTTCAATTCCACAAACAAAACCCAGACAATAGAACTGTGAGATAGGTATATCTACAGTATAGAGATGTGTATATTTAAAGGTATTTCTTCACCTTTTTTCAAGATTGTGGAATAATATATGCTATAATTTCAAGATATTATGCTCAGTGTACAATCCTTCCTAAATTAATATTTAACTTCAATATAATGAATTACTTATTAAAGAGAAAAAGGGACATCAAAATGTGTGATTCTGTAGATTACCTGAGCTGTACAAAAAAACAAGTGAGGTAACAAACAGCCATACACAGTGTTTCTTACTGAAACAGATTTAGAGCTATTTTAACTCCTATATCAAAGGCTTTGTTTCCTTTTGTAAACATTCTGTCAGACAGTTTCATGCACAATTGGCTATTTTTCTCCACTAAAGTATGTGCTAATTAGAAATCTAAACTGCAATACTTGTTAAAAAAAAAAAGTCAGGTGCCTAATTATCTAATCCATACATCTGTAAATCTTTTTAAATTATATGTAACAGGAATGACTATCTCAGTCAGGTATTCTGACCTTGTTTGTATCTTACAAAACTGTGCAGTTGCATCTGTTCAGTGATGAAAATTACCATAAATACACTTCACCTTCCTTAAAGAGATCATACTAACCAAACAGAGATAGACCAGAGTCTTCTTATAAATATTTTAAAATAAAAAGGAAGCTGTTTAGGCTCGAAGGGAATTTGTATTTGGAGCATTACCCTTTCACCAAGCAACAGCCCTACAGAGCCTTACTGCGAGGAAGACACTCCCCATGCAGCACAACTGTACTGATATATGTGACCAAGACACAAACTCTCCCGCCCACACTAAGCACAGAAGTGCAGGGTAACCTGGGACAGAGGAACCTGAGCTTACTGCCCCTGTCTAGGCCCAGGTACAGTTTACCATCCAAGCAACGTGCTGCCTGTAGCCTAATCAGGCCCTGATGTTTGACAAGCCACAATCATTCAGGCTGATGTACCTCACCTATACGAAGACCTTCGTTGATACTTCTATGCTATGACTCAAAGTAGAGGCACTCTGGTCAGAAGATTCCTGAGCAGGGGCTCTGCACAGACCCACACTCCTATCACTAACCACCTAACACAGCCACCTTCACAGTTTTCTCGTGCCAGCCACCTGCACTAGACCAAGGGGCAGGGAGTGTGGAGGACAATTATTGTCTAATTGTCCATTAAACAATATTACCCACCCCACACTACAGGGGACGCCAGCTGAGCTGGTACACCAGGAGGGCAAACAGAAGCAGCTAAGAGAGGCTTGAGCAGGAGATACTTTTGGTAGTTTCTCATAAGTTGGTGTAGAGGTAGTTCTGACAGCAGGGTTTGTGGCTGGGACAGGTGTGGAGATGGCATTTTGGTTGCAAGTTACTTATTTATTCAGGCAAGATTTTCTGTTGAGTTAATGTTTTTTTCTTAGGTTCTCAGTAATTTCTAGGGGCAGTTTTCTCCTATATATAGATTTGCTGCTTTTAGGTGCTTCCATTAGCTTCTGCTAGCTGTTTCCCATCTCGTAGATTGAGAGAGCAGTTCACGATGAAAAGGGACCCACGGGTGCCTGCTGTAAGGATGATTCACACCCCAGGTGAGCACCTGGAGACACACACTGGCATGGAGCCGGTAAGCTAGAGCACTGTTAATGGTATGGCCCCATGGAGTCACAGACCATGACTCCACAGCCCCAGCTGCAGGAGTACCTATCACCCATCAGATGCCTTGATCCAAGCTGGACTTGAAGACTTGAAGGTTGGGTTTTGGGGCTGAAAGGCCACCACAGCCCATGCCTAAGGCAGGCAGGGAACACCACTGCCTCTCCTCAGGGGCAGCGTGGGTCATGCTGGTGGGAGCCGCACACTAGTCAAAGCCTAGAAGCATCAAGGGGAAAAACAAAAAACAAACAAAAAAAAAAGTCACAAGAGGTCCAGCTCAAGCAGCTGTACATAAAGGCATGTGGCCAAGCAAACAAACAGGAGCTGGAGACTGCATGCAGACACAGAACTGCGACATCCTCAGAACAGCTGACATGGTGGGACAGGTCACAGAACTGCAGTGCTGCAATGAATGACTACCTTATCTTTAAGACAGACAGTAGGATAGGCTTGTCCTTTTTATTAAAGGGCAGGTGAAAGACATGGATCTCTTCTGGGGAAAGGGCAAGAGGTGAAGAGTGGAAGGGCTGGAACAAGGAAGGGGCCAATGGGGTAATACTACAATGCAAATTTGGTAACAGTTCATCTGCTCAAGCTGAAAGCGGACAAATTCTTTGAGGCAACTCAAAGTCTCCAAGACCTTGAGTGTTTTTGTGGTTTTGTTTTGGGATTTTTGGGCTGTGGGTTGTTTGGCAGTGGGAGGGGTGGGTTTTTTGGTTTGTTAGCAGTTGAGGGGCTGGGGGGGAGGAGTGGAGGAAGGGGAGGTGTCTGTTGTTGGGTTGGTTTTGTGTGGGGGTTGTGGGTTTTTTTTGAAACAGGAAACTAACCTTCCTGACAACTGTTGGAAAAGCAACACTGACAATCACAAGCAAATTGGGAGGTTTCTGATGGATGTTTGGGACAACTTCTCAACAGAGTTATTAGATAGGCTGAAGAAGATGAGTTATAAGTAGCAGAAGAGGATGGAATCAAGGATCTCTTGAGAAAACAACTCATACAAGTCAATAAGACCAGATGGGACGCTAAGAGAGGTAGTTGATGTCATTGTGAAACTGCTCTGTCATCTTTGAAAGGCTTTGGAGGTCAGGAGAGATTCCTGATGACTGGAAGAAGACAAACATTGAACTCAACTTTGAGAAAAGCATGAAAGAATCAGAAGAACTAGAAGGTAGTCAGCCTCACTTCATTTCTGGGAAAGAGTCATAGAGCAAGATCGCCTTAAAGTTATTTCTAGACACATAAGGAAGTGACTGAGAGAAGACTGAATTCACCAGTAGTACCATGCTTGATCAATCTGCTTGTCTTTTATTACTACACCTATGAATTACAGGACAACAGTAGGTATTGCCTCCCTTAACTTTAACAAACAGGAGACCTTAATGGTCTCCCACAGCATGATTCTTTCCAAGGCAGAATGTTACAGTCTACATAGGTGCACAACTAGATGGGTAGATATTTGGGCTTAAAGTTAGCAGTTCATCCTCTTCCTGGAATCCAATACAAGGGAATTTCCCCAGGAATCTATTATTCTGGAACCAGTTTAACCTCTTTATCATGGAGTTGGAATGCACCACCACCGGTCTGTGGATGACCCTGTTTTAGCATGGTCAATACACTCAAGAGCATGACTGCATTTCAGAGACACCTAGACAGTCTGAAGGAATGGGCTCACAAGCATCTTATGAATTTCCACAAGAATGTGCAGTCCTGTACCTAACAGCGCCTACCCGCCCTGCCCCTACATCAGTACTGACTGGCTGCTTAAGATGACTTGGAGGTCCTGGTGGATAACAGGCTGTGATGCGAGCAGTGCACCCTACAGTAATGAAGGCTAATTGAATGCTGGGCTGTATCAACCACAGCACAGACAGCAGATCAAAAGCAGCAATTATTCACCTTTACACAGCACCTCTTAGACCACATCTGAAATACTGCATCCAGTTTTGGACACTCCTAATACTTAAAGATGTTGATAAGCTCAAAAAAGATGGTGAGAGTACACCAGGACCACCACAGTCTGCTAGGCCTGTTGAACCTGAAAGACAACAAGGCTTCAGTGGACATCTAATAGCAGCCTTCCAGTACTTAAAGAGGAGTTTACTAAAACAGTGGAGCAAAGCTCCTTATTGCGGTGCATAGCAGAAAAATGAGACCGTGGCCATAAACTGAAGTGGGGAGTTTCCAACTGGTTGTACAGAAAAAAAAAAAAAAAAAAAAAAAGGGAAAAAAAATATTGGAATGAACTGAGAAATGGGGCAGGCTGTTTAGAGAAGCTGTGGAATCTCAAAGCAAGACCCAACTGGGCAAAGCTCTAAGCAATCAGTTTCAAATTGAGTGTTGGTCCTATTCCAAGGATGAAGCTGGACGAGATGATGTCCCTAGGTCCCTTCAAACATGCATGATTCTATAAGGGAAAGAACAGGATGTCTTTAAAGGTTCCCCTCTCTCCCTACAGTACATTTATTCACACTGAAGTATAAATTGTACAAAAGCATTTATTGATCTTGTCACAAGCTTTCCTGTGGTTGTCTGAAGTGAGACAGCCCATGCCAACTTTCTGCTTCCAGCTCCAAGATCAGCATTGCCGCTTTAATTAAAATGACCACTTTCTTTGGAAGCAGCCAGACACTAACTGCAGTCATTATGTAATATTTTGGTTTCCAGTATCAGGAAATAGTAAAGGAAAAAATAGTCTTTTCTTGTCAAGGCCAGAATTAGAAAAGCCATCTAGTTAAAAACAGATGTTTGATAACCATTAGTACAGTAGAATCACTCTAAAACCATGACTGGTAAGTTAAGTAACCAATAAATACTCAAATGCTGTTTGATTTTACACACAAAACCAATACCCGTTGCTTCAGCTTGACTCCAAATTTAAAAAAACTAAAACGATCTAGTAACAGCATTTTACATATGTTTACATATATAGCTGGTATGGAAATCTGAGTTTAAAAGAAAAATAAAGGTTTTTAGGAAACACTGTTCATTCAGCCAGTTGACTCTTTCCCCTTACCTGAACACTTCTACAGCATGTACCTGTGCAGGACAGACCAAGGATGCCAAACCCATGCTCCCATTTTTGCAGAGCAGTCCAACAGGCCAAATGCACTGCTTTGGGAAGGTAATAAAACTAAATGTACACTCCTGTAATAGGGTATGCTGTTCAGTTTTTTAAAGCATTGTCCTCTCATACTGCACACTTCATATTTCCTTTGCCTTTGGAGGTGAGGGTTTGGAATGATTTGTTACATATCATTCCACTTTGACTTCTTCCAGTTCCACTGTTCATTCCTTCAGAGACATTGGAGAATTACAATATCAGGGAAAAAAAATCAACAGATGTTTCTAAAGGAAGGTGGGAAAATTATTGTAGATTACAAAAGCAAATTTGCTAGTAATTCTCCCACATATCCTATTGTACCATCCCAATGAAAAGCAACAACTGTGGAACAGTGGAAGTAAACACAGCATGGTACCACAGGACCACAGAAGAGAATTAAGGGGCTCTTGGAATTTGAGAGCAGATGTTTGACTTAAGTTCATAAAACTGGCAAAAACACAAAGAAAAAAATTTAAGTAACAGGACAATTTATATTTTCCTGTTAATATAAGTTAAAAGGCAAAATCTTTCATTTAAGTATCTGTTGCCAGAAGCTGCCTTGTTGAAAACTTTCAAAACAGATACTCACTACGCATCCAAGATTTCAATATCTAGAAAGAATTACAGAAGTTGAGACAAGTGGGAGGGGTGGGGGGAAGACTAGCACAAAGCTCCGAAGATCTCGAATGGGAATTATTAGAAGATAATTCAGTACAAATTTCCAACTTAGAGGTTATCACGTTTGCAGCCAAAACTATTAGAGAAACTAATTTTTATCTGCAAATCCACAGAGTTTAAAACAAGGGCCAGTAGCTGCTGTATGAAGACCTCTGATACCAAATGTACATGCCATTGTGTAAAGATCCATAACAATCTCTGCCAGAAATATTAAATCTGTTCTTTGGAGAGGATAGGGTCCTCAAGTGAATTCCTTTTCAGAGCTGCCAGCAGACCATTTGAAGCTATGAAGCCTAAAGACTTAGTTATAAGCATATTGAAAGCAACAGAGCATTCAGTTTCTCCACAGTCGAAGAAAGAATGATACAGAAAATTTCTAGATATTCAGACACCTAACCTAGTCATGTTTTGTGGTACTTCATAATGAACTTCATGTTGCCTATATCTGGCAAGCACTTTCAGAACAGGCTCTCTGGAATGCAAGCACAGAGGCTCTTCATATACAAGACCAGAGCTGGGATGATCAACTACACTAGGACAGAAATACTTTTAGATACATACAGAACTTTCTCAGGCTTTGAAGAACCTACAAAGTTGTAAATCTCTTTGGAAACCTGCACTTAATTTTCAGTATAATTTCAAGCGGGTATCTATTATGTGAAGAAAAGGCATTCTAAATACTATTTATCCAAACCAAGACAACTGACTAGGGATTACATTAGAGTGAAGATAGGGTTATTTTCATGTCAGATGGAAGTTACTGGCTTGAACTTATACACAAAATTCCACACTAAAACTTGACTGAAATTTGGAAAAAATAGAGGTGAGAGTTAAGAGGGATTAGTATCTAAAGAAATACAACAGCCCTAGCCAGTTAAAGAGGCAGGGGGCAACACGGCAGCCTTCAGCAGTCACGTGCACATGAAGAGCTATTTCAAGGAAAAAAAAATAATTCTAACTGTGGTAAAACTATTCTAGTATCTCTAGTTAGAAATACTAGCTGAAAGTTCAAGAAATCTTAGCTATAGCTGGAATAATATAATAATATTTAGAGGATCTAACAAAATTTTCATCATTTGGGATACTTAAGAGACGTGAAAGATGAAGCATCAGTAAGTTAACAAAGCCAATAATTCTGTAACAGTAGCAATTAAGTTATTCAGATAGGTTTTTCCATTTCCATTTCATGCCACAATACATTTAAGCCTTCTTTTAATATTATGCATGGCCAGTTGAGACAAGAAAAATTTTCAACTATCCTGAAAATCCAAAAGTATGTTTCAAAAAGAATTAGTTTATATAAAGTCTTCTTTCTTTTCAAATACATTTGGAATTAATACCATGTGACAAAGCCAAAGTAAGTAAGTTTACAAATCAAAATATTATCAACAATTCTTCACACTCATCTTGCATCTATGAACCCTGAAATACAAAAGATCATTCAGATACTTGCTTTTCAGAGTCTGTCAACAGCTGAAAATTAGTTTATTTTTGGGATTACATTGATTTGGATGCAGCAAGACAATATCTAAGGTCAACAACTTTCTATGTGATATCAAAGCTATCACAAACATTGTTTTGTCAGTAACAAGTTGAGTCACCTTCAAAACACTCAGTCAAATGTTCTTCAGACATATAAAAGGAACAACCTCAGCTCCATAATACAAATAATGGACATGTACAACAAATCGTACAACTTCATAGATATTTCTTCAAGACAGACTCTAAGACAAACCCAAATGTTCTACTTCATATATAAATGCAAAGTAAATCTATTGCTATCTTCAGATCTCTTAATCTCACTTTTATCTTCCTGCAATAAGTACTTTGCCAACTTAATTTTGCCTTCATTACTGTCTACCCATAAATGCATTTTTCCTTGATATAAGATCAGTAACCAGTGTTGATCTGTGACTCAGTTTAGGTGTTCTTTGTCTTAGCACCTTTTGGTTATTACTCTGTAAAATTACACTGAAAAGAAAAGGCCTGCATAACTAACCAAAAGGATTATGATAAGGACACCACTGGCAAATAATGAGCTGAATGGTACTTCAAACGCTTTCCACAAACAAGGCAAGCATCTCAAACTAATATCATTAAATATCACTGGGTCAAAGTACTATCAATAAATTAATTTTGTATGCAAATGTATAAAAAAAGAACATCCCTAGCTAGTTCCTGTTGATACCAATCAGCTCTATCAGGTGACTTCCTAAACAGTAATCATAACTTTTCTCCAAACCAAATCAGCAATCATGATTTTAGATCCAGTTTTCAATTTTTAAACAGTTACTTTAATCAAGCTCCTTTGCTCCTTTCTGGGCAAAACAAGAAATGAATGCTTTCCTTTCAAGTCCAACAGATGCAATTGCTGCCTGAACAAGATCAAGGCAGTAATTTTGCATTCTAAAGCAGCAGAAACAAAGCATCCTTGTAAGAAAGCAGGTTATTCTAGATCTTCATTCTAATGCACAAAACCTTATTTTCCTATTTAGATTTGAATATAAATGGTCTAGAGGTAGCAAGGTACAAAAAGTACCCCATGTTTTCTTTAAATCTAAAGTTTAAGTGCTAGCCATTCATTGTTTCTTTTTTCAGTTTTTCGGTTTTGACAAACAAAATTTAATAGGGAACACAAAAATATGACATGGAAATCATGCAGGTGACCAAATTAAACTAATGAAAATTTGAGTTGTACTTTGAGTTGATTCCAGCATATGTGCTGCTCTCTCCATGTGGAAAGGAAAACATTTAGGAGGTTATCGAATTTTGGATAAAATAGGCTTTTTGTTACAAGTCTTTGAAAAATCCCAAAACATGTTTTGCTATAATATCGGTGGCACATGGGATTGAAACCAGGCTCCTCGCTGCCAGAATATCAGCAGAGAATGAATTGTAAAACTTCAAGTCAATAACAAAGCATCATGAAGTGTTTAGGATTCAATCAACCATTAAGAGACATTAAAATATTGGTGTGTTTAAACAAACATTGTTTCAAGCAGGCAAAAGCACAACAGTTTGCTGGGACAAATATTTTAAACACAGAAGTATGTGATTTATTAGAGCACATTCTGAAAACACCGTATGTGTTTCCACACATGAATAATCATTCTCATCAACTTTAACAGAACTAATGGCATGCATTAATGTTTGAGAATCAGAGCCAATAAATATTCTACTAACACAATTAATACATCAGCATTCTGAAAGGCATACAGCAAAATGTTATTTACAGTCTAAATTTACAGACTAAGATTGGACTAACAGCAGTTGTGTTGTTTTTTAACTCAAATTAATGGACCATGTTTTGTAAGGTTTATCCAAAAATTAATTTCAAAATAGACACATGCAAACTCCCAATGTATACCACTCACTATATGAAAGGGAAAAAAACAAATAATATCCAATTTCCCTGTCTAACATTTCATATCTGCTCAACTGTCAGCTCACAGTGACTTAATGGGACTTTGGTAACTGCAGCATTCATCAAGGCAAGCTTTTGGACAGCATCTCACCTGGTCTCTTCATCATCCCAAGCGATTCTCATGCCTTTCCCACCACCACCTGCTGAGGCCTTGATCATGACAGGGTAGCCTAACAGCGGGGAACAATTAGACAGAAGTTCAAACTTTGTTCAGTTGGTCAGAGGAACATGACAACTGACCACATGTCCAATAATGCCAGTAGACAATAACTTCGTTTATTAAAACACTGTGTTTGGAGGGAGAGGAGAGGAGAAATTTTTCTTTTCAAGACTTAGCTGTCAGTGTAGTGATTTCTGAAGCCAAGAAAGGTTGTCTTCTCCATTTCATTTATACCAAAAAAGCACTGAATGAATTATTCCCTAGTAATGAAGTGATTTATGAATAAAGGCATTTGACCTTTTTAAGTTCACATTTCTCTACTACTGCTGGAATAATCTATAGCTTATATACATAAAATTTGTCAAAAAATTACTAAAATAAGCAGATCTTCATAAATTATTAGTCAAGAGATTCATTAAGCAATCCTGTACCTTATCAACACTTTCAGTGCAGAACATTTTAAATAACAGAGCACCTCAAGCTGTGCTGCTCAAATATTATGTAATAGTAAGTATCACAGAAAACATATTATTACCCCCCTCCTTTTTTTTTTAATAACAAAAAAGGGTTTTCCCCAGATAGACAAGTAGTAAGAAAAAGTAAGCAGCATAAACCTGACAGCACTGTGCATAGCTGGTAATATTTTACTTTCAGAAAAAGATACCTTAATATGGGTCAGGACCTTAGTCTTCCAAAAGCTAGAAAAGTACAGTAACAAAGTATGCAGTTTAAAAGCAGATTTTGTAATGACTGTTTATCTTGTAGTACAATATTTTAATTCAAAACAACTTTCCAAAACAATTTCTTATTCCTATCAGTGAATTTCACTTCTTGTCCACATGAATGTACAGAAAATTAAAAATTAAGGATCTGATTAGAAAGTTTTTGACGTTTCTAGGATAGTGGAAAATTCTTCAAGCCTTGGTCTCCAGCATGTTTAATAAAAATCATAACATTAAGACAAATATCAGACCAGCTGATATTGTCTGGCAAGAAGAGTCCATCAGTCCCTGCAAATTGAAGATACTTTCTATAAAAAGCTTTGGTCTGGGGACAGAAAGGGACATTTGAATATGGCTCCCAGTAGAAATGGTCAAGTCACAGATGTAACTAATATTTACAGATTTCTGGAATGTAGATCTACTTTTGCTCTGTCAAGTGACAGCAATAGAGTACGTCTACCTCCTCCCTGAAGTCATTTAACTGAAAGGACGTTCAGGAGAAGATAATTAAAACCAGCAAGATCTGGAAAACTTTTTGCGTAAAAAGGCTGAAATGGACACACACAAAAAAAAAAAAAAAAAAAGAATTATGATACAAGCATAAGTAGTGTTGATTGGAAGGCGGGAAAACAGCAACAGTACAAGAGAACATTAAATTAACAAAGAAACAGCAAAAATCCGTAAAATAATTTCCAACATAACATGTTATTAGACTGTGAAACCCCATGCTAGGAGAGCATTCATGTGGCTGAAAGCTGTGGAAGGGTAATAGATAAGTGTATGTAGAGCATAAATCAAGTTGCTATTGACAGGGATGACCAAAAGGCTACACATCTTCATGCTTTAGAGTCTAAAGTAATCTCTAGTTAGTAAGTATAAGGGTAATTCCAAACAGAGCCATGCAAATAAGCTTGCTGAAGCGTCTGTTAGGTTTTCCTAGGAAATATCTGATGCTGCCCACAGAGGGGTATGGGATAAGTCACGGAGTAATAGGTTCAATCCAGAGCTATACTAAGTATTTTCAAGGCCTCCACAATCCCAATAAAAGGGCATGTGCAAAATAACTCTACATTACATGCAGCCAACAGTGAAGCTCAACTCATTTTCACTAAATGCAGTATATACAATATCTACATTTATCTGTTCTGTAGGTGCTTTTCCAGATCCCTGGCAACTGCCAGGCTCCTAGGTGAGTCACTGGCTATCTGGAAATAAAGGAAAGGCACATTTTCATGTAAGAAATGAGATTTAACTGGGTAACACTAGCAAACTTACACCTCTGACAACACTATCACCATCTGGAGACTCTCTCCAACTCAAGAGGCTGCAAGTCTGAAATTCTGAAATACGCATTGTTTTAATCCTTATTATGGCAAACTCACTGTGGCAATTTCCATTGCCTAATCTATCTTATTCAGTGTTGCATGTACTTGAAAAAATCATCAACAATTATTCTAACAATTTCAGTCTAACAGTATCAGTCTCTTGAATGGCTTGCTGATTTTAATTCTGTAAGCAGAGTCTAGTCCTAATTTACTGTTCTTTCACTTCAACAGCAAAATAGGCAAGTTGGCAGTGAGCCTTAGTGAGTCTTTATATGCTACAGAATATAAAAGTTCATATACCACAACTCACATGGTTAAATTATCAGACAGGATACATGGGTTACTTGTATCACTCATGAAGTGTAGGACCACTTTACTTCCCCCAACCTCACCCCACTCCCAAATTTTATCATTACTTGTCAATCACACTTGTATGCAAGGCAGTTAAAGATTCAAGAGAGCCACAATATAGTTAAAAATAATTTTAAAAAAAAATATCTCAGACAGACCTGTTTTGAAAACATACATACAGATTTTTAGGTTGAGAAGGAAAAATTCTTTGCAATAGACCTCTACAAGTTAGGATAATAATTAGCCAGTCCCCTGAAAATAAGGGCACTTGAACTTTTGCTCAAATATGCCTTTACACACTACTTGCTCTCTGGGGCACTGAACTAAGCTAAATAGTGGTTCGTTGGCCAATACCAAAGACTGGTGTATGCTAAGGCAAGGAAGGCTTTGTAGAACCTAAGTTTTGCATACATATTGGGTATGGGATTCTGGGAGCAGGATGTGTTACTCATTATTCTTCTAACCACTTCTGCACTATTCATCAGCAATCAAAATTGTTGAAGTATGCTTATAGGGACTGACTGGATTAGTTGCAGCAAGGAAAAGGCATGCAAACAATTTGTAATGGCATTTAGACCCACAACAACAGCAATGAAGAGTCTCACAAAACAGGCACATTTTTGAGTAGGTGTTAGGTTTTCAATCCCTTCCTCAAATTAGATACTAATTTACAGGAAACTAAAATGGCATGTAAGAATAAAAACTACTCTTGTCTATAGTTTTACATTCTTGTGACACACCTGAAGGATGGGTCTAAGAAGATCTTAAAAGGCCAGAAGGTAAAAAGCTGTCAAATTTGAAGATCATCAGGCATACTTTTGCTGTTAAATAGGTACTATTAAGTTAGGACTGCTTTGTTTCCAGGACGGTTACTATTCTGAGAATCTGAATGGTAAAAGGAGTAAACAAACTTCTGGTATCCCACAGCTGTTAGTTCCCGCCCTTTGCCACCATGGTTTTAGATGTCATTCAACTATTTTTATAAAGGTGAAGATAGGACATTGCAGAATGCATTGTGCAATATCAAACTGAGCAATAATACATGTGGCAATACCAGATTCTTTTCCACCCTCCATTACTGAAAAGCTAGTACTAACGAAACCCATGCCAAATGAAACATGAAAAAAACATGGTTTTCACCTCTTCAGTTTTGTATAGACTTTCATTCAGTTTAACTGCCTGCACTTCATAGTTGTTCAATCCTTTCAAACTGAAGAGTAAAACTTTCTGGAGTTTCATTAATGCTTCAGAAATCAAGAAGCCAGCAGCTCTTAATGTACACCTTACAAACAGACTTAAAAGTAGCATGGAAAAAGAGCCAACGTGATTAAGCACTATAGAAAGGATCACAAGAGAAAAACAGTCCACACAGACAAACAGAGAAGAGAGGCTAAAGAAAGGAGCCTATACAGCAATTTGTACCTGAACTTCTTCCAATTCTTAATTTAGCCTACTATCTGTCACATTCTCTCTTGACAACTTGGGAGAGCTCATCTCAAACAAGGGGTAAAAAGTATATTTTAATCCCGCAGTTACAAAATTTGTATCCATAAATAATAGTCACTGAAACAGGTAAAGGCAGTGTCTCAACCCTGAAGTGCCATACTCCACTACTACAGGATCTTTGGCGAGAACACAGCAGAACATAGCAGGAAAACATGCAGGCAGCAAAAGAATGCTGCACAGTGTTTTAGTTTTAAGTGCTGAACCACAATGAAATTTTTTTTAATAATTACCTAAGCATTCTTGGAAGACTGAGGCTCTGGATAAGTGAAATTAAAAAGAATCTGAAAGTATTTGGTTGCATATCACAGGCCTTATATAGGAGGACAAATGCATTATATACATAAGGGACTTCAATTTCATCCTATTTTAGATCCTTTGAAATTACAAACCATTGGGTTTTATTCTGATCAGTAGTCATGATTAGTCAGAAGCTTAACCAAACTGATCAACTGGTTGAAAGATGGGTGGGGAAAAAGCTAGAAAGGACATTTTTCTTCCACCACATGACATCATAGTACAAACTTTTTTTGTATCAAAATGGATAAAGACTTTGCCATCTAGATAAACCACCACACAGCTGTCTGAAACTGACTTTAATATCTACAGATTTAAGACTGCCTTAATACAATGACCTCCAAAGTGCTACTGATATCAAAGACAGGAACCAGTCAACAGAACACCAGAACTCAGAAGAAAATTAAGCAAAAATACATTTTGAAGGGTATCTAGGAAGCCACTGAATGCATTCTGACTTACATTAATCAAAACTGCCTTAAAAAAACTTGCAGGAAATCTTTAAAAAACAAGAGCAAGAAATACTATTGAAATGAAACTGAACCGAAATAAAGTCGTAACAGTATGCCTTTTTTAAGGACTAAAACCATTTTTATTTACAGTTCTCCTCTGAATATTCCAATCTGGTTGGTAACCTCTTCCTTTTGTTTCTGTTCCTGTGACAGTGATCAGTAATCACTTGATTTCCCAACAGAGACAAAAAAGCTGACCCCCAGAAATGCTGACTTCAATTGTGTCAGCCTAAAAGGCAGCCAAGACTACACTGAAGGATTTCAGGGCAGTTAACCAGTGCAGGGTAAAAACCCCAACTTAAACTCAAAGTGGAAAGGTGTTATATTGAAGAAAAGCAAATCTGCAACAGTGCAAGTCCCAATTTCTATTTAGCACTTAAAGCACAGCCATAGCATTTGACACAGGTGAGATGTATTTGTAGCTCAATCAGTAAAAGAAGCTTCAAATGCAGATACATCCTTTGAATGATGTACTGTGATGAACCAAAATAGCTTCTTGTGGCTACTGCCTCTTATGGCTCTTAAAAAGAAACAACCCACAACACAAATCTCTTATTGCATTAGATTCTTCTTCTAGAAATCATTTAAGAACATGTGTAATTTCAAGCATATGGTTTAATATTTTCCCTAATATTAAGCTTTAGAAAATAAAAGCCAAAACTCATTAAACACATATTACACAACCTTCATCAAAATAAGCCCAGACAGTTTGCTGGTTGCTCTTGTCACCATTCTGTAAGATATTCAGAAGCCGAATAGTGACTTTGTTCCAGAAAGCACAGAAGAAAGGCTGGTGCTCTGGATGATATTCAAGCCAACTGCAGTCCACACAGTGATGAAGATCATAACATCACTGGTGCCAGCCTTCATATAAAGAGAAATGTACCCTGTCTAATCTCTGACTATCATGTCCAATTGCAGATATACTTTGAAATAACTTCTTTAGCAAGCTACTCATTACTGCGCATTACATGCATTCCACAAATCATGGCTACACTTGTTCTGTAAAGTCCAGTTTTGAAAGCTAAAATGTGATGATTTAAGAGACAGGGTGTTAATGTCTAGATTCTTCCAGCCCTATAGGCAACAGGGAACTTAAAAACTATTAAAACATTATTTGTTCTATAGGGATTACTTATTACACATTCAATTTAGTCAACCATGTCTGCTGAGAGGCACACAAATCCCACCATAGCTAATTTAAAAACTTACCAATTTCCCTTGCAATTCTGACAGCTTCATCTGCATCCTGTAAAAGCAGGAAATGAGACCCAACGTTAATCCCATCAGCCATTGCACTATGTCCTGAGGGCAGTCATATATTGCACTACTGTCTCCTCTGATTCATTTAATGTTTGATTTTACAACCTTCTGACCCTTTTCAGCCAGAGGAATGTAAAATTAATACCATAAGTGGAATGTAAATTCTACCTCATCATTAGTACACTGAGAAACTCAAAGCAGCGAGGAATCAGCTGACAGGAAACACAACCAGGATCGCAGAATGATTTTCTGCAGTTGTAGGAATTTAATGCTAGAATTTAGAAGTTTACAATCAATAATGGACCATAAATCAGATCGTTAAAGTTTGTCCACTGCCAGCTTGTTTCTGTCCTCACAGGTATTCCTTGTGTTTTCCTGGTTGTTGTCAGTAGGGGGAGTTGATTCTCTATTGTTTGGGAGTGACTCAGGTTCAGAAAAAATCTTGTAGAACTTCTTTAAAGACATTTTGTCTACTGAAGAAAGAACACAAGCATTTCACCTCTGAAAGTTTTTCATTCTAAATACAGAATAAACCTTAAATGCATCATTTTAAACTGTACGCAAAATGAGAAGAATTGCATAATTGTTTCCCTTTAGGAGTCCACACATTACTAGTGTATGACAATTAGAAAAATCCTTTTGTTGATGCCACCTATTGCTTCAGCTGACTCATACTACTATAGCCTGGTACAGAAAAAAGTACTAGGAAACCCAGAGGAAAAAAAAAAAAAAAACCACACACACACAAAATACTGGAATTGCTTACTTTTTAATAACCAAATCTCTTCTCCTGCAGTAGTTAATTCTGGCTTCTTCTACTGATAGCAATATTATTTCCATTATACAATACCAGAAAGAAAAAGGGTTAAATTACAGTGGCATGGGTTAAGTTTGAAAATTCCATCCAAATTTGCTAATATTTATACTATTTCATGACATGCATTAAAAAATTTGTATGGAAGGCAGTAATGTCTGGAAACCACCAGCTGCTAAGTGCGTCTGAAACTATGGGGGCTAACTTATGAACATTAAAATGAAACCTGATATTTTTAAAGCTTTCAAGGCAATCCGTTTTAAAAGCACCCAGGTCAGAACTTTAAAAAAAATACATAAGAAATGTTCATACCTGGTTCATTTATGTCCGATAATAAAACAAAATCCTCTTTAAAAGTCTTCAGTACCTAGTAACAGCCCCATGAAGAATAAGGGGACTGGCAGGGGAAGTTGTCAGAAAATTTAATTTCCTTTCATTAGCTAGTCTGCTCCACAAATCGGTGCTTGTTAAGTTCAAAGCAGTCCTGAAAGCAACATCAGTTTTAAGTCTTTTTACTCCAGTCACATCTGTTAATGAGATTTTTCCAAATAACAATTGTTTTTAAGTCAAGAGATAAATCTAGCAAAAAAACCTCTCTCCGCCCCCCCCCAAAAAAAAAAAAAAAAACAGGGTTTACTGTTTTATTACACCTTGCTGCTTTCCATGACCCTGCACCCTCCAAATTTTAGTTTAAAGGGATAAAATGCATGAAAAGGGTCATTTAAGAATGTTAGTGGTTTCCACACATTGAGTTTGAAGGTTCTTTGTTCCTGCCTGTGACAGTTATGCGAGAATACTTCCCCTTAATAGCCTCTCTGTCAGGAAGTGTTAAACCTGCCAAATGCAGACAATTAGAGCCTCTTGAACAAAATGCAGGAAGAGTGATGACTGATGAAGAGCCTCGATTATAGTAGAGAAGGAAACTTTTACATTTCTTTTCTCTTGCAAATTTACTCATATATTTGCAAAATAGAATTAAGAGGGGGGGGAAGGCAAACATGATATTTTTTTTTCACTTAGTTACCTGCAAACAAGTGGCTAACTGATACATTGCAGTCCACAGGAAGACAAGCTGCAAATCATTATAGGGCAACTTTTCACTACCACTGTATTTTTATACATGCACACAACTAAGTAATAAGCAGCATTGTATCAGCAGCACTAATTGTCTCAGTTTGGGCTTGAACAGACTGAAGTCATCTGCCTAGCACAGTTATTAATTTACACTGTTTCAACATCTGTTTCTTTTACAGTTCTGATATATTAGAACCCAAACACTAAGATATAAAAAAAACCCAAACAACTAATCGATGCATATTCAAACTCTTTAGCCTTCAAAGAGCATTTCTGAAATAGAAAATATAAATAGGCTGTGCTTTAAAGAGAAACTAATAAACAAAAAATTAATAAACAACTGACATATTGAAATCTCTGGTAAGTCTTTTGATCTTTTTCCATACGAAAGTATGGTTCAGTATCATGCATTTCTCTTGCAGATTTCACAAATATAGCAGCAGTGTGAGTATTCCTAAAAAGTTAGGACAGTAAGATTCTTGTACAAAGAACTTATGATAGAGACACAACATTTGCTGGGGGTGGGGAGACAGGGAGCAGAGGGCGCAAAAAAAAACGGAACACTATGACACTGCATAATACACAAGTCCATCTGTGCAAAATATACAAAACCACATGGGTACTAAAAGCATTTTAAGTTATTTTTTTAAAGCAAAAGTCCTCAATGATTTACTGCTGTTTCCTCCAAAAACACATTAGCTACACTACCATTTTCCCAAAATAAACTGGAGATTGTAAAGAAATATATAATTTTAGCACCACTTTTTATTGTACAAATAAAAGTGTTTCAGTAACAGTACAAGTTTATAAAAATCGTAACAGTTATAAAATGATGTCAGTGTTTTTACAAATGGCTGATTTTATTACATTAAAAAAAAAATACTCACTTAGCATAAAAATTTCTAACCTCCTAGTGTCATGTACATGCCCCTCTGCCAGGTACCAGCAGGTGGAGACAAAAAGTAAAACTATTCTGATGCAGAGGGATACCAGGATAAAACTGTTTAAGAGACTCCTAGAGCTATAAAACATTGTATTAGAACTACATAATAGTTTTCACAGCTGAGGGTGTTGATCTTAGTTCCAGTTCCTTTCTAGTCTCCAACAATCGCTCCAGCAATACAGTGATCATTTAATCCAATGTCAATAACCCAATGCAAGAGTACAGCCGAAACAGATACCTGAAAATTTAAATACATTAAATTCATAGCCTTGCTGAAAAACTTCAACGTGTCTACTGACATCAGTGAAACCAAGTAGACACCCAGAGACATTAATCTTCCAGGTCTACATCCAGCTGTGTTCTACCAGCTATAAAACCAAACTGGCTGTACATGGTGAAACAATACAAAAATCTTTCTTCACTTGCCATTCTTTTGTCAGTTTTTCAACATGACATCTCCTTATATTCATTATTCAGTCTCCACTTTCTTCTTGTCACTTATTCTTCTTTACTCATTTACAGACAATACATCTTCTCAGCTCTAACTTGAGTATAGCCATTGCTCAAGTTGGTTAACACTAATTCTTTTGATTAAGACTATTTACCATTATCTCTCCCAATCAGGCTTTCAGAAATTAATAGTAGTTACAGATTTTGGAATTGACTACCTCTGAATGCTTTTGTTGGCTCTCTAGCTGACAGCACCAGACTCAGGTTCCTTACATGTGTAGGCTGGGTAACCCTTACACCAGCCAACTGAGAAAACGAAGCAGAGATGAGAAGAAAATTACTCTTTGTCAAACTACTCTTTCCACTCTCACTTCACATCTTTCTATTCTCAGTTTCATATTATTTGCTACAGCATTTGCCTATATGAGAACAGCAAGTTGTGTCTATTATACTAAGCATCTTCCTCTTCAATCCTTCCAGGTCCTTAAGTAAACTGTTGAAGGGCTTCTTTCTCTTTAACATCTAATTTAATTTCTAGTCACTGGGAATTTTTCTGCATGCAACTTCTCCAATATGTTATTACAAAAGCATAGCAATGCCAGTGTCTACTATGTGTAAGTGCCAAGCAACATAAATAAGAAGGGGAAAATACCCTTTACTCAAGGACCTATGTATCTGCAGCACTATTTATCAAGTGCTGGATAAAGACAACTCTTCAAGTAACAAAGATTTTCAGTGTAGTCTCAAGTTGAATAACGAAGCGCTAGAAGTTGTTACTCTATGTTCTCTTTAACTATTCATCCACAAAGAATACGTGCAACTGATCTTTCTTAACTTCTGGCATTGTCAGAGGCATGAATGCAGTTTTCTTCCAGCTTTATTAGACTCCACTATAAAGATGAAGCCACCTCTAAACAACTCAAGTATCAAGCAGACACTTAACTCCTTCCTAGGACCTTTAAAAAAGTTGTTTCCCAAGAAAAAGAGCCCTCAGATTTTGAAAGCTTCATAACTCCATGACCAAAACAGGTCTCTCCACAGAATAGCAGAAATCCTATCCAGTCTCCAACTCCTTGTGTATTGTTCTTCTGACTGCACCAGGTATCACACAGCTTTGCCCTTCCTATCTTAGGCTGAATTGGCAAAATAGTACATCAAGCTCTAACCGAAGATCAGGCATCCTGTATGACCTAAATACTCAGGTATTCATCCAAGCAAAAGACACTATCACAGGAAGGAGATCAGAGGACAAACAGCCACATATTTAGATTCATAGCAAGGATGAGAATATCAATCATCAGAAGTTTTATTTCCTAGAACTGGTAACCAAAGAACTAGTTAACCTAGAATTTCTATCTCCCCTTTTCTGATGGAAACTACAACACTGACAATATCTGTGGACTCTCCTTTTTCTTATTGGTGCGTACACTGCAGAGTTCTTGCGTTCTTTTTAATCAACACTCTCCAGACAATCAGAACTAGTGCAAGGCTAAGGTATATGAAATTGGTATATGGACACTTCAGGATTAAGCAACTACTGCATAGTTCCTTTCCATAGCCAAGGATTGGAGTTGTCAACTCAACCCAACATTTCAGTTCATTTGGTGTTAAGACTATCATTGCATACAAGCAACTGCTAACCAGATCACTTGTGCTCTTTCATTTTGTGTCAGGAACTTCATATAATTGTCAGAAAACAATGCAATTAAAGGTCTCAAACAAGTGCATACAGGTAAGTAGCTCAGTTTCACTGGTTATATGGCTATCGGTTCATTAACCACTACCCTACTTTGCCAGGTATGTTTCTTTTTATTAGCAGAATAACAGACCCTTACATAAGTTTCTACTGGGTACAGTGATAAAACCAGCATATTTGATTCTGCAACAGAAAAAGTTTTGCAGGGTTTAGATGATTAATTCAAAGTTATCTCCTAATTAGATGTTTTTCTATAAGTTATTTTCAGGATTTCTAGAGAACATACAGGATATCAGACAGAACAGATGATCTCACACACAATGATTTGGCTGCTGTTAAATCTTAGGAGCGCTAAAGGACCACATACACAAGGACTGCTAGAATGTGCAAACCTGAAGGAATGCTGCATGCAACTTGTCGCTGCCAGACCTCAGCACTGCCACAAATTCCAGCTTAACACCCATATGGAGCCCTCCAGAAGAAAAGTAAATCTTTCACACTTTAATGCCTGGCAGTGGGATATGCTGCCACAGGTAACACACACCAGGCATTTCCATCACAAGGACTGATGAATTCTCTTGTGCATTTTGACCACAGCTACTTCATGATTTTATCATTCTCTTTCACTAGCCGAGTTCTCCAGGCATCATCATCAGAACAGATAAATCTGTGGAGGTTTAGGCCCTTTGCACTCCATTCACCTTCTATTCGTTTAGTTGGGTTTGTTTTTTCCCTCCTAACAGAGTTTAAAATCCAACTTAGCTGAAACTGTGCTGAACAACATTGACCTGATATATGTTGCTCCTTAAAACACAATCTGCATTCCATTAATATATTCAGTGGTTCACAATTATCTTGACATTTCCTATTTCATCATGTAAGTAAGATTTACGATGATCAGAGGTCAATATAAATTGTCATAAATAAAACCTGAAAAGCTTTCCTTTCACTACATTAAAGAGTTGCTGAAACAAACTTTTCACTTTTTCATGAAACTTTAAGTTTTACTCAAATTTTATTTGGGAAAAGAAAAATAACCTAGCTTGACATGACAAGCATAAAAGATTTCAACCCAGGAGGTCACCATTTTATAATACAACAAAGTTTCAGGTGTACATAATGAAGATTTTAAAGGATACGCAGACAATATATAAAGACACATAGGAAATCTTGTAAGAGCCCAATACTTAATCACATCAGCAGAAAATAAACCAAAACAAAGACATACTTTATTTCACCTTACAAAATATAGACAACCAACCAAACTATTTATAGAAAACTGTGGAAATCATTCCTTCTAAAAACCCAGGATGAACACTAGATGTAGATTTGGACAAAATGTCATCAACTTCCCCCCATCCCCACCCTGAATTTTCCAACACATGAGAATATACACCATCAGCACAGACCATAAAATGGAAACTTCATACAGTGTTAACAATCTTTGCTATTAACTTAGCACTGTCAAGATCTTGGCCAACAAGAAGAACTTAGAAATGTAAAGACACGCAAGCAGTTGAATCCACACCTGATATTTAACACATTTACCTGCCTTCAAGTTAAATTTAAAGCAAAACATTTGTAAAGACTCCATAGAAGCAGTCCTTAATACATGATTTATTATGAAGGACTTTCTCTTCTTCTCTAAAGCTCTCCTGCTAGTAGAAATCTGTACCCCCAATTTTAATTACATCTTACTGAAAAAGTTGAAATTATAATTACATTCTGCATCAGACCTTCAATAGGTGTACTTCGATTTAGACACTGTTCCTACAGTGGGCAGACAGCAATTAAATGATTACTCACCTTGACGACTCCATCAAAGCCAGGGATCGTGTTGACCTTTGCATTCTTGGCTAACAATTTGCTTTCAATCTTGTCTCCCATAGCTTGAATAGCATGTGTGTCAGGTCCAATGAAGGTGACACCTTCTGATGCCTGCAAAGACAATGAAGACATAACTTTAGGAGACGAAAGTAAAAATCAGCTTTACACAGATATTGCTATTAATTTGTTTTTTTTCTCTTTGTGAACTGATTAATGAAACAACATTTAGAAGCCATAGTAAGCTGTTTATGTAACAACCTGGCAATATATAAGCAGCATTTCAGCCAGCTCATTAAAAATGTGTATGACCTTGTGAAACTATGTATACACACAGATTCAAAGCCCCTATAATTAGCATTTGTATAAATCAAAGCCAGGCCAAAGAAAAATAGTTGGAAGTGGAAGTACTCCAGCTTGAAAGTTAGAAATATCCCTTGAGAAAACAGAGGCTAGTTAACTCACCACTGAAATAGCCACAAGTGATTTACAAAAATATGCTTGCTAAACTGTAATGCAGTTGAAAAGTCCATTATGCATTCCTAAAACAAAACCTTGATGAAACGTCAAAATGAAAGTGCAGCTTCTTAACATATTTAAAGACCTTGAAAATAAGGTATTAAGTGAAATAACATTTCCTCAATTCTTTCAGGCAACTCTCTCTTCCAATACTAATGTGGAAATAGGTTAACATAAAATACTTTAATAGTTCAACTTTAATACTTAAACATGTAAGTAGAACACTGAACTGCATTTTTCTTCCTCCTGTTTCTTTATGCCAGCAATAGACTTCAGTGACCAAGTACACAGACATGTTTTCAAACCTCTCCAGGGTCAGTACTATATGGAGCTAAAGGCAATTCTATCAGAACTGTTTCACTCAAAGTTACTGATGTGTCAGTGACTACATGCATGTTTCAGGCAACCTAACATTTTTTGTATCATAGGAAAAAAACATCAAATGTTTCTTTTCCTATGCACAATTTTTTCTGTTTGATTTTTTTTTCCAATTCTAAGACACCTGTAAAATGTTTGAAAACCACTTGTTTCCAGCTGATAGGCAGTTTATTTAATACCAACACTAACACAGTGGCAAACATTCAATTTCTTATATCAGAATTTGTGTCTTAATACTTTGGTTTTCTGACATACACTTCTGCTGCATGTGTAATCATTGGCAGATAGTTATAGTCACTAACAATAAAACGTAATTTGCGGAGGCTTTTTGTATTTATGTGATGGTAGTATATGACCACAGAACAGACATAGAACAAATATGTTTAAGTTGGGGAACAATGTCCTCCTATTCATGACCTTGTAAGAGCTGAGCGCTCCCAATACGCTTAGGAGTCACTGTTTTCACTGTCAGCAGCTTCCTGGCAGGAAGAACGTAATAGCAGAAGCTCTGCATAGACAACTCCCTACCATCCTAGCTAACAGAGTGCTACAGATAACAGAGAAAAGAACAGACAAGTGTTATAGACGCACTAGGAAGCTCAGTGCAAAGACACTCAAACCAAACGCAGAGCGCATCAGTTCAGCTACACCAAAGGCTTGTTAGCTTCAACTTAACCAACCATCTACTCTGCTCTCATGAGACCCCACCTGGAGTACTGTTCAGCTCTGGGTCCCCCAACTCAAGAAGGACATGGACCTATTAGAGCGAGTCCAGAGGGCCATGGAGATGATCAAGGGGCTGGAGCAGCTCCCCTGGGAAGCCAGGCTGAGAGAGTTGGGGTTGTTCAGCCTGGAGAAGAGAAGGCTCCAGGGAGACTTCATAGCGGCCTTACAGTGCTTAAAGGGGGCTACAGGGAAGGTGGGGAGGGACCTTTTATAAGGGCATGTAGTGATACGACAAGGAGCAATGGCTTTAAACTGAAAGAGTCTAAGATTAGATATAAGGAAGAAATTCTTCACTATGAGGGTGTTGAGACCCTGGCACAGGTTCCCAGAGCAGCTGTGGCTGCCCCCTCCCTGGAAGGGTTCCAGGCCAGGTTGGACGGGGCTGGGAGCAACCTGGTCTAGTGGAAGGTGTCCCTTCCAACCCAAACCATTCTATGATTCTATGATCTGGGGTTTTATCTCAGCCCACCCCTTCTCTACCACAGTAGGCTTATTAGCTCATCAACTCAATAATTCTGATTTGATGAATAGCTGTCTTAAAGCTGGGAAGACTGCAGTAAGAGGGAGGAGGGGATAGGAAGACCAAACATGAGGGTGCAGAACTATTAATATAATAGTACCAAAGGATTGAACACTAAAGAAGTTCACTTTCTAAAAGAGAAGGGAAGCAAGGAGTTGATGCTTGGAACCATAGTGACCCAAAGTCTGGAGCTGACCATTTCAGAAACAACAGCAGATTACAAGCTGAAAGCTGATAGTTCATTCCCTCTTAACAAGACAGCTTCAAGTAGGTGTCTGCATACACCTGAAGGCAGGGCAGAATTCCCTTCTATCATCAGCCCATATTCCAATCTCAGAAAGCTTTGTCGAAAAGGTTCACTTACACACTTGGCAACTGCTCTCCCTCTTGCATCACTCTTAACCTGAAAATACCTTGTTTCTACAGTCTCTGCCATAACATTGGCATTTGCATCCTGATCAATGACACTTCAAACTTCGCCATGTATTGCTTCCTCTCCACATTCTCTTCTCAAAGTCTACCAACAAAAACATAGCATTTCAAGAGGTCAAGCCAGTGGATTCAAAACTTTCACTGCCCTGACAGACCATCCAAGACATTCAGTTTGCAGTCTATTTTCAATACTTTACTTTTACTCTATTTCTCTTCCTCTAACTTCCATCTGTCGGAAAATAAAAAAGCCTTCATTCAGAGTGGAGGTCACTGGAGAGGATGGGAATTACATTCATGGCATCGGGAAGCATACACCCTTCCACTAAAAGACATAAAGGGGACATCTTGTTTGACTTACTGTATCCGCTCACTGACTTGTGACATGGACTTTCAAAGCGCCCAGCTCATTCCCTGCTCCTTTCCAAGCAGGTAGTTGGATAAGAACAGAACAGTGCCATTCAGGAGAGATTCATGAACCACTTGAGAAGGAAAGCTCCAGGCCATTTCAAGAAATTAATCTGCTGCATCCAGTATATTTGTTATGTGAATCTTGTAGAGCTGTGATATTCCACGTGGATACAAACAATACAACTTATTAAAAATTAAGTACTAGGTGATATGCAGCAAATTCACATTACTCAAATGCAAATATCACTTGGTATAACCTGTACCTTAGTCTTTTTTTAAATGTGTACTTTTAGAGCCCAGACTTTACAAACCACAGTTGTCTACACACGCACCTCTTGGCTTTAACTGCTCTGAACCTTTGTACCTTACACAGAACTGCTCTTTAATTGTCAACAAGCAGCACCTTAGTACCACCAGCTACTCCCCTGTATTGTTAGTCAGTTGGGGTAGTCATCAACATTCAGTCATTTCTCAGCAACAAAATCTCAAACAGGTTATTTTAACTCAATGTGATATCACAAGATACCTGAAACCACCTAACTCGGCATGCTGCAACATCCATAAATCAAGAAGTTGTTAACAAACCAAGGGGGATCCACTGGTTTCCAGCCAACACGTCAAACCACCTCTTACACAGAAAAGGTATGCATTCTCTGACATACCTTACAACTAACTTCAGCTGAACTCACAAAAAAAAACTTTATCAGCTTAAGGCACTACTAGACAAACAGTTTCGAGTCTTGCTACAGTAATTTCAGTCCCCATCACTCAAAGATGCTTGCTCTAGCCCTCTGCCAAAGCTTCTCACCTCATCACCAGAGAAGTGCCCCAGCTTCTTCATTGCCAATACTCATATGTAATTGACTAAATTACCTGATCAAAACTATTTCCTGATACTGGAAATGCCAATAATAGACCTTAAGAAAGAATGTGGCAGTAACACCTTCAGGTCCCACTAAGATTCATCAGCACTCATCCATTAGTATCCTTAGTTTATGAAACACAAAGAAGTGGTGAAACTGCAAGAAAAGCTTCCAGTGCCTTGTGACAGTCTGCCCACAAACAGATTTGCCAGCATAGCAGTGTCGCAGTTGAGCCCAGAGGGCAACTGAGCATCATGCAGCCGCTCACTCACTCCTTCCCCTCAGGAATGGGATGGAGAAAGTACAGCAAAAGGCTCAGGAATCGAGATGAGGACAAAGAGGGGTGACTCGCCCATTATGGCTCCAGGCAAAAGACAGACTTGTTATGGAAATAAAAAGAACATGTGAGAAGTAAGAAGCAGCACTACATCTTAAAAAACACCTTCCCCCCCACCCCTCCTCATTTCTCAGGCTCAGTTTTGCTCACTATTTCTCTACTTCTTTCCCTCACAGCGGCGCAGGGAGCAGGGAATGGGGGGTGCAGTCAGTGCTGCTGTTACTTCCTCCTCAGGGGGAGGACTCCTCGTATTCTTCCCCCACTCCAGCGTGGGGCCCCTCTCAAGGGAGACAGTCATCCAAGAACTTTCTCAGACTTGAGTCCTTCCCACAAGCCACAGACCTTCCCAAGCTGCCATGGTGTGGATCCCTCCCACACGTTGCAGTCCTCTCAGAGCTGAACTACAACAGCAGGGGCTTCTTCCCACAGAAGCCCAGCCTTCTCCAAGTGCAGCTACTTGCTCCAGCATGGGCTCCTCCATAGGCTGCAGGTGGGCATCTGCTCCACCGGTGACCTCCATGGGAGGCAGGTGGGGCAACCCTCCCACCTCACCACAGGCTGCAGGGGGGCAGTCTCTGCACCAGCACAACTCTCTCCCTTCCTCCTCCTTTCTTCCACTGACCCTGGTGCTCGCAACTCTTCCTCGCAACTCCAACTCCCCCTCCCAGGTTCCCCTTCTTAAATACATTATTGCAGAGGCACAGCCACTGTCGCTAATTGGCTCGGCCCTGGCCAGAGGTGGGTCTGACTTGGAGCCGGGGGGAGCTTTGAGAAGCTTCTCACGGGGCCACTGCTGTAGTCCCTTCCCCCATTACCAAAAACCCCCACCACCTCACACACAAACCAGCACAAGCAGCAAGCACTAGAACCTCTGCTGTACATACACAAATTTACACAGTACATATCAAACAAGTTCCTCAAAAGTTCTGTT